TAGTCTTGTATTAGTTTAGAACCTTCTTATTTAGACAAAAAGGGGGAGATGTAGTGGGTAGCCATTCCAGCTTGGTTCTGGAAGTTCCAACCCCCATTGAGACTCTGGCAACTGTCACGCCTACGAGGCGGGGCGAGGGGAGGTGCCGGGGGACCCGAGAGCTGGATGGGTCAGCGCTCTCTCTGGGCTCTCTCTCGGTGTCGGGACGCTGACCGGTGCAGATTGACTGTGCAGAGCTCCGGAGAACACCGCTGGACTGCGTTACACCTTCCCCAGACCCTGCGACCTACCCATTACTTAATTTGTGAGTTACGCCATTAAATAAATATCCTTTTAACTACGTGGAGTGGCCAAAATAATTTCTCCAATACTGGACGATCTTGGATCTAGCAATTGAGAAGCAGCCGACTTAGGCAATGAAGAGAGAAAACAGAAGTTCTCGAGACTTATGGGTACAGGAAGGAAAGAACACACTGGTCATCTTGTTATAGGAGATCACAAAGGAACATCTCACTTCCGAACAGGGGAAGAAGACAAGAAAATTAATGAAGAGCTGGAGTACCAGTACCAGCAGAGCCTGGACAGTAAACTATCAGGCCCATACCAGCGGCGGCACTGTGGATTTGGCTTCAGTGAGGTAGAAGATGATGATGAGACTTATGCAGGGATGCTTGGCTCAGTCTGGGAGGAGGGGACTGGACCTGCCTGGACTGGGTATACCAGGTCGATCTCAGTCCTCGGGGGAGGCTTTGCCCTGGAGAAGAGGGGAATGGGGGGTCGGCTGGGGGGAAGGGGAGGGGGCAGGAAGGGGGAAAACAAGGGAATCTGTGGCTGTTATGTAGAACTGAATGGTATTGTAAAATAAAATTAAATTAAATTTAAAAAAATAAAATCTTAAAATAAATACATTAATGTAAAAAAAAAAAAAAAAGAAGATGATGATGATGGGGAAGGTGATGTTCCTGGAGACAGTGATGAGGACCACTCGCCTGATGCTCAGAGTCCAGATGACTCGGGCAGTGACTCTGAGTCTGAGAAGGAGGAGTCTGCAGAAGAACTCCATGCTGCTGAGCATCCTGACGACGCAGAAGACCCTAAGAGCGAAAATGATGTGAAGAGCAATTATAAGATGGTACTTGTCAAGTCCAGCAGCTCATAACTTTTAAACACTTAGCCTTTGTATTAAAAGGAAACCTTATTGTTATAATGCACAGTGGAGGACTGCTTATAGAGCACAGACCTTTGTATTATAATTTTTTAAAAGGCCTTTTAAAAATAACTACAAAGAGTGCTTGCTTTCAAATGCCATGGGTTATACTTTTCCGGGCATGACTTGAACCATTTTTGTAAAGAGTCAGAGTTGTGTAAAATGAGAAATAAATACTGTACTCAGCCTCCTTTCTTTCATATTAGCATCGTCAGCCTTCTCACCACCTTCCCCCCCCCCGCCTGCAGATGCATTATGGGGGACACTTACTTTGTTTGTGGTGGCTCTTTCATCTCTGTGTTTTAGGTTTGTTCCTATTTTTCTTTTATATGATTCATTTGATACTGTGACATGCTCATGAGGAACGTTCCCTTGATTACACTTTGTTAAAGTAGACCTGTCCCTGTCCATCATGGATATTCCTGCCGCCGGCCTCGCTGCCACACTGCAGACCATTGTTGACAGTCCGTGCTTGTTAAGATTCTGCTCTCAGACCAGAGCAGCACAGGAGCCAGCACAGGACACTGGTGGGTGGAGGTGCAGCCGTCACATCGTTCAGAAGATTGCGAACCAAAATGTCTTTCTATAATTTGATTTCACTCTATGGTTAAGTTTTGATAAATTTGGCCAGTTTTTACAGAAGAAATTATTTCTCTGCTCATTTAGTCCTGTGTATTTAGAAATATGTAAAACTGGATTTTTTTAAAGGTACTATGTGACCAAAGTTCATTTTTTCCTTCTAAGGTCTAAATAAAGAGAAAGCAGTTTCCCATTAAAAAAGAAGAAGAAGGAAGAAAGAAGATATAATGATACCTGCTGTAGTATTCTTTTTGCTCAGGACCATTTTGGCTATCCTTAGTCTTTTGTATTTTCACATACATTTTTGGATTGTTTCCTCTGTGTCTATGAAGAGTGTCCCTGGAATTTTGAATGAGACTGAATTACAGTTGTAGACTGCTTTTGTTAAGCAAAGACTCTGATAGTATGGGAAATAAGACCAACAACTGATAAATAGGATCTCGTAAAACTAAAAAGCTTTTCACAGCAAAGGAAACCCATGTGACCTACAGAAGTGAAATCATGACCGTGTGTGTGTGTGTGTGTGTGTGTGTGTGTGTGTGTGTGTGTGTGTGTGTGTAGATCCATAACATGCAATGAGATTGAAAAAGTAATGTAATACAAAGATACCAGGCAGCTGGAGAGACGACTCAGCAGTTAAGAGCTCACACTGTTCTCGCAGAAAACCCAAGCTTGCGTAGGAATTCACGAACTTTAGACTGACAGCTGTGGAACCTGCACGGGACCATACTAGACCCTCTCTGCATACGGGAGACAGTTGTGTAGCTGAGTCTATTTGAGGGCCCCTGGCAGTGTGATCAGGATCTATCCCTGGTGCATATGCTGGCTTTCTGGAGCCCATTACCTATGGTCGGACACCTTGCTCACCCTTGATGCAGCAGGGAGGGGCTTAATCCTGCCTCAACTGAATGTACCAGGCTTAGCTGTCCTCCCCATGAGAGAACTTACCCTTTTGGAGGAGGAGATAGGGGTGGGATGGGGGGAAAAGTGGGGAGCGGGAGGAGGGATGAGAGGGGGATCTGTGGTTGGTATGTAAAATGAATTAAAAAAATTTTAAATGAAAAAAAGAAAGACCACACACAAAAAAAAAGGAAAATTTAAGCTTGGTTCCCATTTGGGAGGCTCACAATTGCCTGTAATTCCAATTCCAGTGGGTATCTGACACTTCTAGCCTCACACACATACATATACCTAAAATAAAAAAAAAAAATCTTTAAAAAGGGGGTGGGGAAAAGAATCCCAGGACCTGATAGTTTTACTGCTGAATTCTCCCAAACCTTTAAAGGAGAGCTACCAATATCGTTCAAAGTCTTCTAAGCAGAAAAGGTAAGGACACTACCAAACTCATTCCATGAAACCAGCATTATTCTGATACAAAAATTCACTAATACTGTCAACCAATGTCCTTGTTAAACATACATTCGAAGATTCTCAATAAAATTCTTGCTAGTCATGTTGAAGAGCACATTAAGATCATACAGCATGAACCAGTTGGTTTTATTTCAGGAATATAAGACTGTTTCAGTGTAAGCATATCTAATCATAATAAAGACTATATTAAAAAGCTGGTTACAACATACTGTAAAATGGGGGTAACTGAAAGTATTTCCTCTGAGATAAGGATCAAGACAAGAATGCCCACTCTTACCACTATTACTCAATGTTGTGCTTGAATTTTTATCTAGAAGAATAAAATGAGACAACAGGACACAAACAGGAAAGGAAGTTTGCATGCAACACGGTCCTGTGGTTCAAAAGACCATCAAGACCCCACCAGAAAGCTCTTAGTTTCGACGAGAGATAAGTGCTTTTAGCAAACTAGATGGGTATACCAGTAAACGAAACTGTTGAGAGAAAAATAAAGGGGAAAACCACCCATAATAGCTTTTTTAAATATATGGAAATAAACCTAACCAAGTAGGTGAGTGACCTCTACAATAAAATCTTTAAGACTTTGAAGAAGACACTAGAAGATGGGAAGACTTTCCATGTTTGAGGATTGGTAGGGTTAATATTGTAAAAATCATTGTCTCGCCAAATCTATCTAAAAATTAAGGCCATTTCCATCAAAATTGCAAGTACATTCATCACAGAATTGGAAAAAGGCAATCCTAAAATTTAAGTCCCTAAATAGCCAGTGCAGTCCTAAAAAGAAAAATGCTGGGGGTATTATAATGCTCTATCTCAAACTACATAATAGAGCCATGGAAATAAAAACATCATAATACTGACACAAAAACAGACATATAGACCAATAGCAAAGAACACCCAGAAAGATTCTCACAAAGCTACAGCTGCCTAAGTTTTAAAAATAATATTTTATTGTTTGGGAATTGCTGGGAGCTGTGGGAGTATACAGCAGGTGGCAACTAGTGTTTGACAAGTTGACCCACCAGACATGTAACTCCCTGATGGGGAGCCCCACCTGGCAAAGCTGTGGGGTTACTGGCTGTGGAAACTGGTTGTTCTCTGTAATCTTCTCAGGTGCCACTGCTGTGCCTCAGTAAGGACAGCTGTGGGGTGCTTTCCACAGCCCTTTGGCAGTGTGTTTTATATCTCTGGACACATTTATAGTTGTGGATGGTCAGGTTATGATTTCTCTTTAAGCTGTATAATTCTGATGTATGGATATCCGAATATTATTCTTTACTGACACAGGAAAGTAACAGTATTCTCAGTCTCAAAGACAGCCTTTTACACATTTTGCAAAGACCTTAGAACTAGTCCAAAACAGGCTAAGCTGCCCCTATAGAATATACACAAAGACTAATTCCCAGGTGTTGTTTATTGCTAAATCAAGGCCAGGCTGTTTACATCAAGACATAGTCCCTGCAGTAGCTCCCTTTCTGCGTATGATCTGACCGCTCAAGACAGCCAATTGTTCACTGTCTGGGACCCCTCACCAACTTAAAGCTACATGCCTGGGTCAATGTGACATTACTAGCCTAAGAGAAACTATGTGACTTATTTTGTGTTTTGGGAATAGGTAGGGCCCTGAAGATGTAACATAATTGTCCAGAATTTGTCCAGAGTTTGGCTGTGAGGCAGCAGCAGCGGCGGTGTGGAGAAAGACGGTTATGTAGAGGTATGTGAGACTGCTGCAGAATGTGAGTGAAGTGTGTGTGTGTGTGTGTGTGTGTGTGTGTGCTATGTAGAGGAGCTGTGCCTAGGAACTGTGTAAAGTGCTGTATGGTGAGAGAGCTATGGAAATGAAATGTTCAGCTGTGGCTGTGTGGAGGCAAAGAAGAGAAAGCTGTATAGAAAAGACATGTAGAAGAGAACTGTATGTAAAAGATGTGTTGCCATGTGAAAATGTATGTATGTAAAGATACGTAGCTGTGTGCAGTAGTGTGGAGATACGTAGCTGTGCAGAGATGGAAAGAGCCAGACTATTTTTAGGATGGAGTAAAAGAGAAAGTTATCAGACAGCATGTGTATTTCCTTATTTCACCAGTCACAGATAGATTGAAACTTATTCCTAAATACCCTCAGATAGAAAAAGTCTAGCCCTCGCTGCCTTCATGGATTTTCTTGCATTACTCTGGAGGTGGCCTTAGAGCCGGTTCTCTACAAGGCTCCCGATAGAGAATGCCATATAGTATATTTTTATCCTATTAATTGATTTCCCCCAACTCCTCTCATATCCTCTCTACTTACCTAACTGAGTTTCCTCTCTACCCACCTAACCAAAATTTCTCCTTTATGATCCCCCCCCCACCCCACATCAAGTCCAGTTTGTTTTCCCAAACTACTCCTAGGAGTGAGCCCTACCCTAGAGTGTGGTCAACCCGCCAGGGGTCACATCATTAAAGAAAATTATCTCCCTCTCCCAGCAAGTATCAGATGCTCCTCAGCTATTAGCAGGGTTTCATACCCACCTTCTCCCCTCCGTGCTGGAATTTTGTCTGGTGTGAGCTTGCACAAGTCTTATATTCGCTGTCATAATATCTATGAATTCATATTTGTAACTGCCATGTCATATCTGGAAAATTGTTCCCTTGATGTTATTCATCACCTCTGGCTCTTACAATCTTTCCTCCCCCTCTTTTGAGAAGATCCGTGAGCCTTTGGGGGAGGGGTGTAATTTGTATATCCTATTTAGAATTGAGCATTCTACCATCTCTAATTGTTGCACATTGACCTATTGAGGGTCTCTGAGATAATTTTCATCTACTGGAAGATGTTTTTCTAACGAGGGTTGAGAGATGCACTGATACATAATTATAGCAGGGACTCATTAGCCTAGTCTACAGACTGAGTTTCAGGACAACCAGAAAAACTCTGTCTTGAAAACCCAAAAAGAAAAAGGAAAAGAAATCATTTTAATCATATATTCATTTTATCAGAATAATAGTGCTGGGCTCTCCTCTAAG